CGCGAGCTTGTGATAAGAAACTATGCCGTGATTTTTCATCTGTTTTCGATGATAGTTGAAAGGTCTTATTTATTTGTGAGAAATACAATTGACGCTTAGCTTCTAACAATTTAATTTGCATAAGGCGTCTATCATTTCCTGCACCCTTTTCCGTCATTTTGAATATATTTATTAGAACACGATTATATTACCCCAAAGTGAGTAAAAGTATCTTTGTGATTACGAATTAAATGTAAATTAATTTTCACGCGTGATTGAAGAAATATAAATGAGCAGGTTAGTTAATAAGTATTTAAGAATTTAACTGTATTTATAGTATATAAATATTGCGAACTCGACTAGAAATTCAAATCAGTTTTAATATATATATGTAATGCGCTGCATATGTTATGCACCTAAGAAAAGGTACGATACGGTATTAGATAAACCGCAAACCGGTCGTTGGCGCGACGCGGCTGCACGGCGGTGATTTCTACCCACTATATAAATTAAATCGAACCGATCGAAATATTCACGGAGCGAGATGATAATAATAGGTAAGTAAATTAAATGCGACAGCTGTCTAAAAGTCGATGCGATTAATAAGAATGTTTCTTAGTAATAAACATATAAATCGATTTTGTAAACGGCTGTATGCGATGCGGAAAAAACTTTTTATAGTAACATTTTACGAGTCAGCAACTAACAGTATAAAATAGTCGACATCAACGTAAGTATGCAGCAATAAGGTTCAGTATCAATTACGTCGCAGAGTCGAATCACAATCGGATTTACGTATTTAGTAATTCCAATCCAATTGTCATCCTGTGAGATGGACCATTTTTTGGTTGGAAATAGGAAATGGACTGTAATTTGTATAGGCGCTGGCTGATTCTACTCTGCACCGTTGACTAGACAATATTACTAAGGTCGGACGTACCTGAATATACGAAGGCGGATGCTGCTGCTCTCGTGTGCTTCTTCGGGGATCCCAGCTACACGGATTTCGGTCACTCACGATGATCTAATTCGGGTAGGAACTTGCGATTGCACATATATTTGGGAGCGGCGTAAAACGTGCCCTTTTCTCACGGCGCGCGGCGTTGACGACCAGTTAATCACGTGACGAAAAGATGTCCGTCACTTTAACTGACCAATAGTGAGCAAGCATCACATCGACCCGCGAAAGACACGGACATCCAAACCAAAGCAACATTGATGTAACGGTTGCGAGTATTCAGCGCAAACAAACGAACAAATTTCGGCTGTTTAATAAACTAGCCGAACCAGAAAGTACAGACATTCAACAATGTAAAGGGCTGGTATCTTTACATACTAATTTAAATTACCAATATGTGTTCTGTATTTTCAACTTGTCGGTTTCCTTTGCCACTTATAAAAACCATATTAAATACTCTGCTACACTTTTATTCCTAAGAATGATAGAAACTTTTTCTAGTTAAATTTAATTAGGAGTTTTATCTAAATTCACAAAATGACTCATTTTTATGTAGTTTGTAATAAATAAGTTATTAAAAAAATCGGTGTTTCTTCAGCCTGTTATATCAGCTTGATGGAATAAAAAGGAGGCGGTCGGCGAACGTAGACTTTAGTTCTCGTAGGGGTATGAAGTTGGATGCACCCAAAATCCTGTGTAAATAAATTTTACTAAATCGTAATAATAATAGCAATATTTAATAAACGTAACGTCGAAAATTAAAAATAATTGAAATGAAACGAGATATAATCCGTAAAATTAGTTATTATCATTATTTTATTTTTATTCACTTAAGGAAAAGTTACACCCAAATAGGTTCATAATATCTCCTGTATCATTGTGGTATTTTTATACATAAATTGAATCTGTACCATTTATTTGTAGACCATATAAATAGGTGCCGTGTAGTGGTAGTTTGAAAAAAAACGACGGGTTGCACTCCGGGAGTGCCGGCAGAAGTGAAAACTTGAATATTAACGTTGTGCATTTTTGATATTTTGGAATGATTAAAGAATAATTTTGCACGAATTGCTTTAATTATCACACACGAACATTCGCGCAACCGCCCTGCGCCGCCTAAACTAAACAAGCCAGGGCAGGCGCAGGCGTACATTTTCGCCGCGCCGTAGAAAGAAAGGGGGATGCTTCCTCTCCTACGGCGCGCTTTTCTTACGAATTTTCGATCAGCGTCAGGTGTCCTGACGCGAGTTTAACAATTTTTACCCATTACAAAAAAGTGTAGAACGCCGCTAAAGAAGTTTTCACTTCAAAAGAAAAAAAAATCACTATCTCATATTATCTCATGTTTTCCCGTAAGTAGAAGCATCTTTTGATAGCAGATCGATATAATAATAAACTGTCATCAAAATAATAAAAAGCGTGGCAGCTACGGCAAATACCACCTCGGTGAGACAATCTAGGGATAGGCCTATGATCAGCTGTGGACTTTTGACTAGCGGCGGTGCAGGAATCGAACCGCCGTCTTCAGTGTCGCACTCAAACGCTTATCACTAATATTAAGCAGTCAAATTTTGTTATTCCGTTACAATAACTACAATTTCTTGACAAGATAAATTATTTGTAACATGGTAGTAACAAGGTTAGCGCCAACAATTTCATCCTAACAAAATATTTTATAAGACTATACTCACGGCTGCTGTATATATGTATATATGTAGTCCCAGGTTTGAATCCCGGATCAGGAAAAAGTGAGTTATTGGGTTTTTCTGCCACGAAATTCTTAGTCGGTGTCAGCAAATAGGCGGTGTTTCACCCCCGTGCCTCAGAAAACATGTAAAGCCGTTGGTCCTGTTCTGGATTGTTATACTGATGCTGTGTCGGATGCCGTCCCATCGGACTATAAGAGTGAGGGAAAAGAGAGTGCCCCTGTGTTTGTGCTCATACTAGTACACTGCTATTCTGTCATTCACAGATGTTTAGTCTCCGTTAAAAATGGCCGCCGTAAGCGAAATTTGGTCTGGAGGACATTTTATAGACCTAGGTCAAGTACTCTTAAAACTGGAATACAGCAGTGGGTGCACTGCTGCTTGACGGTAGAAATTGGTTCGATGGTAGTTCCATGGAGTAGAATTTCTACCTAGAGGTGTGTCAAGACAACAAAGAAGCTCTAATAATGTAAATTTATTTTTAAGTAAATTATTTCTTAATATGCAAGTGAATGGCATTTGCTTTGTATTTAAAACAAACCTCGTTTTCCAACATTTTGTAAAAACACCCTGTTGGCAACAGCTTGTCGCTGGTTGGCCTCACGCATCTGCTTACGTGCCACCTCAAGTAGCAACCGCTGTCGCAGCACCTCCATGGGGTTGTTGATGGAGAGCGAAGGCATCTTGCGTTTAGGTCGCCCACGTCCCTCGCTCCACTCCTCCGTCTGCTTGAACCCCAAATATAAAATGATAACTCTCTTGAGCTCAAGTAATTTACGATTTTAGAAACTCGTCACCTCATTAGTATTACTTTAATAAATATTAATATACTAATTTTTAAAGAAGGTTCCCTTCTCAGAAGTGAGACGCCTGTGCCCAGCAGTGGGACGCATAAAGACTGTAACTTTGAATTTTATTAATTATATAAGTAAACTATGGTAGGGAATTCCCCTAGCCATTTCGATTGACTTTTATGGCATATATTTAGTCCTCGTTTAACAAAAAGGTACTTGTTGTATATGTTAAGCTAGGATGTAGTGTCATGGATGTAGACGTTGGACAACCACTAAATAACCAAAAACCAAGTGACTGAGATTCTAACTAAGCACCCGCAACGTAATATCCATAATAGTTCTTCGACCAATCCAAAACCAAAGAGACGCCGTTGTGAAAGTTGGATTAAAAAGCCGTTTTCTATTATATGAAAAGTTTAAATGAAAACCCTTAATTACTTCGTTTTATTTAGATATCATACTTCCCAAAAGAGTAACTGGTAAGGCTTTGTGTATGTACTCTTTGTTACCTTTTCATAGAGTTTTAATTGAAAACATGCATATAGGTATTTCAATTTCCTCTTGTTCCAGATAAAACAGAAATATAAATATAAACTAATAATGTAACTGATATGGCTAATTAAGCTTAAATTGCGAAGGATGAGTTATTTGTTTACTAAACTTGCATTATAGAAATTTTGAAACACGTCCCTATTTTTTGTAAAATAATTATTACCGTATTAATCACCCAAGGCATCAGAAATGTTATAATTGAATGACAGCACTCATTATGAAGATATATTTTGTTGATTGAATTACGTTTCTCATTTTCGTTCGTAAGAATTAGCCATTATATTTGTAGATATCAATTGTAATAATATTAATGGTAATGCGATATCAGCTGTTAAGTATCCTAACACTAAATATTTCTACAAGCAAGCGGTAGATTGAAAGGAAACAAGCATTCGTTTGGTATGACATAAAAAGAGTTTTTATTAAAACATAATTTCTTGGAACATAGAATTATCTTAGTGCTCATAATTCATCTTGGTGTAGTACTATTCTTACGGTATATAACAGTTTAGAATGGGAAATTTTATTAAAATAAAACAACTTATTAATTTAGAACCCATTTATTACAATATTCAATAGACTGAATATTTTTTTGGCTCAAATAAATTATTAAAAGCTAGAATTATGACTAATTGAATATAATTTTCGAAAGATTTTACACTTGACTTAGCGAAAAAATACAATTCACATCTACATATAGTATTATTAAATGTTTATAGATAATTACGAACATTGACTATTTACTACGCAGCGAGTTACTTGAAATCTAACCGCCAAATGTTAAGTACAATGAATCTAAGCTAAATTTTAAACTTAACTACGTTGATGATGATTATAATATACAAAACACTAATTGTTCTTTTATTAAACATTAAATAATTAGTGGCAAGTAGCAACCAGTTTTCCTTGCAGTTATTTTTCTTGCTTTTACTTTTCAAGTAGCAAGCTACTAAATAACATTCTTTGGGGTCAAGTGCTGTTTGTAAATAGTTAAAAAGTTACGAGTACGTATTAGATTCGGAACACTGAGGGCTTCTTATAAAGATTTCCTTGTTCTTCAGACTGGCTCCACTGGAGTCCTGTAATTTATGATTTATTTAATTAACTTACAAATGTAAAATAATCGTGAAAGTTAAATGCAAATTACATTAGAGTAATGATTATTGACATTAAACACTTAAATTTTATTTGTAAGCTACAGTTCCATGGTGCAGTATTGCACGTACCTCGTTTGCCGATGCCGTTCAAGAAGTTCCTGTTGGCGACAGCTCGCAGGGCCTGAACTTTACGCTCCTGTTCGAGGCCCAGCTTGTTGCGCAGCACCGACATGGGCAGATCGATGGACAGCGACGGCATGCGACGCTTGGTTCGCCCGCTTTCACCCTTTATCCCCATATACGTACACTTTAATTAGCTCACGGGTATTGATAATTACATGACTTAAGTTGAGTAAATTTAATGTTTTTATATTTTTAATAATAATAATAATGACGTCCAGATCGGAATACCGGTCACGGAGACTAGTCTGAGAAATTAGCCTTTTGCGCAGGACGGCATTATAGTACCCAAGTGCATGTGCAAGCACAGGTGCACTCTCTATGGGAATAGAGAGAGCGTCTGTGCTTGAGTGTTGTGCGTGAGTGAGGGATCATTCACATAGTCCTATGGGACGATAATCCGACACGACCAGAGAGAGATCAGGCGCAGAACCTACGGTTTTACGTGAGTTCCCAGGTACAGGGGTGAAAAACCGCTACCTTCCTGACTCCGGGCTGGAATCGAACCCGGGACTTTATGATCAGCAACTAAATTTACGACTACTGGACCAACGAGACTGTCTTTATACAAATAAAAAAACTAATTACGATGTTTGACAATCCGCCAAGCTTGATCAGTCACGGTTACGTGACAGATGTAGTCATTCTGTATGTATGTACTGTGGGAGGAACCTATGTCCAGCAGTGAAGTGATTATATGTGATGAAATTGAATTATGGGGATTTTTTATAGGATAGGGTGACAAACGAGCACACAGTCCACCTAATGGTAAATGGTTGCTGTGGCCCATAGACATCTACATCTATCTTAGATTACGAATCAAAATACAGATGCGTTGTCACCCGTGAGAACTAATATGGAATGCCTCTTTTTCAGTAAAACATGTCTCCGGTTCTCTACACTCACCATACGGAACACAGCAGCATTAAGTTACTATTTCACGCTGGTATTCTGTAAGAGCGTGTTCCTTCCCCGGTCGAGCCAACCTATTCGTTCTACGACTACACTACTAATATAACTGCAGCATGGCTCCACCACGTATAGGTAGGTTAAATATAGGGTTATTTTCGTTCAAATATATATATATATATATATATATATATATATAGTCGCTATTATTTTAGTATAGATATACATTGCACATGCTTACTAACAGGGATAGTGAAATTAAAAACCATTTTTACGTTTAAATCAATTTATTATCGCAACAAATGCATTATAAAATTACGTAACATTCAAAATAAATCTACTAATTTCATATTATTTTGTATAATAATAATCTTTTTATACTAAGGTTGTATACTTGTAACTACACTTCTACATTACATTTAGTATATTCAATCAAGGGACGGCAGAGATTCCGGTTTTTAATACAGCTTAATTCTTCAACATGCAGTCCGGGCTGTTCCAGGGGTCTAAAAATTAAGAAATTAAATGTTATAATCTCATCAAATTACTTAATAGGATTTCATCCAAACTTTATAGTGTAGCAAAGATTTTATTTTAATTTAAAAATACGAGTGAACGTCAAAACTGGGATATTTTTATATGCTTTTAGCGTCTACCCACTCGTACCATAACCACACCATATCGCAGCGACAAAATGTGGCCACGTGCAATGATAGTGTATATTATAATAATATACAGTACACTATCACTGGCCACGTGTGAATAGTGTCACTGCAGCTTTTTACAGTTGCGTTACATCCCTAGTCGTGTCGTCGACGCCATGTTGTGTTTGCGATGTAGGATGTAGCCGCCCGCTAGTTCTATGTGGTTCCGTACTAGTTGCGTCGTAGTAGATGCTCGGTATCACTCATGCAGTCGATAATGACGGCAAAATATGCTACATGTAAATTGTACTATTCATTTCCAATACAAAATGCGCCCGCCCACGTGTTGTGGTTGTGGTACGTGTGGATCGACCCTTAGTACGTTTATATTTGCTGTAATTAATGTTGACTGACCTCGTTTTCCGACACAGTTGAGGAAATCTCTGTTGGCATGCGCCAGCCTCTCCAGGTAGTTGTTGTACGCTCCCTGTTGCAATACTTCCACGGCAGGGTACACGGAGAAAGCACTTCGAGAACGCTTCGCCTCATTACCTTTAACCTTTGTAGACACTTTTTAATTTTAACAACACCGACTAAATGTAGAAGTACATAAAATTAATATTTTAGTACGTATTTTAATTTTAAGAATGTGTTATTAATTACTGTTATTGGGATAAGTTAACGATTTAATTAACTGTACTAATTACGAACTACTTCTCCTATTACTAAAGGATTTAAAATCTCGTGCAATTAAAAGCTTAGAATTTTACCCGGCCCATGCATTTCCGCCCGAACATGAACGTTTCAATGGCTAGAGGCCGCATGTTTATTTACATTAGCCTCGTGTACAATAAGGTGAATCAAAATGAATAGATATTGCGTAATAGTTAAAAATGTAATATTATTTATTTACCTGTGTTTCCCTTGGAACATCAGCAAACAGGTAGAGCCAAGGGGCAGCAGCTGTGTAGCGTCCGCCCATCGATGGCACACCATTGAAGCTCTCCTATTAAATAAATGAAGCTAAAGTTTTTTTTTAATTTTAAGTTACATGCCTGTATTATCGTTTTATATATTACTTTTTTTTACAGAATATCAAAAGTCTACTGCTGAAAAAAGACCGCCATCTCATAGATTAACTTATAATTACCACAGTTGCCACGCTTGTCCGGTGGTTTGGCAACCTCAGTTTCTTTTTAATCGCGCATTTTGGCAAGAGCCTAAATGAATACTGTTGTCTTAAAAAGCACACTTCCATCCCGGGACTAAGCAACTGAAGGATGTGCCGGTTTTGTTCCATAACGGAAGAAACGTCTCCGCACATCCTAACTGATTGCGGACCCTTAATGCGCAAACGTAGCACTCATCTGGGAAACTATGTACTCCACCCAGAAAAAGTGAAATTGCTCACAGTTAAGCAACTACTTCTATTCATTGAAGACATAGGCAATTATTTATTCTGTGACATATGGCTTAGCAGTGAACTACAGCCAAGCAGCGTTCACAATGGATCTTTTAGGTCGCAGTGATACTGGTCTCTTTCTCCTTGCCTTGACCTGTATAGCTGCTCGAACATAATTTTAAAAAACAGTTTTTTTTTATTATTTCGTGTTATCATCAAAAAGATGCTGCTGCCCGTCTTCTGTTATAATTCCCTCTGTCGCCTCTTACGACATTGACGAGATGATGTGAGTATGAGGTGATGGACCCTTGTATAAAATCCACTACAAATATTAAGAACTTGAAATTAGAATCGCCGTGGCATTAGAAATATGTTTGATTAGCGAACCTCTTGTAGTCAAAATAGTTTTTTCCCTATTAGCCCATAACAGTCTACTTGTGAACTTTTTTCTCAAAAATTTATGTGTGTGTGTGTGTGTTAAGGAAATTGTTATGGACCCAGCCTCATTACATTGAAAAGAAATAATCTACTGTCGGTCTAATCTAGGGACTCGTACCTTTTTTTAAATTAAAACGTTTAATTTAAAAAAGGTACTCTGCAATTTATTTTAATCTTAAGACCGATTCCTTACTTTTTTACATGACCACTTATGCGTTAACAGTTTACTGAAAAAAAGTTTATCCTTTAAGAAAATGTGTACAAATATGTAATGATTGAATTTATTTATAGGATTCTAAAATGGAATATTTCGCTTACTTTACGTTTTAGCATGATTTTATAACGATCCATGGTTGAATGGATTCGTAAAAACATTTCAAATACTTAAAAATACCTACATGTAAAACCTACGTAAAAACAGATAGTGACATTTCTCACGTATCGTGGAGGCATTTTACATACATAAATTGCAAAATGGATCATGCAGACCTAGAACAAATATTTGTCGGTCATAATCAATCAAAAATCAATACTTGTCCCGTGCGGTTCAAACGCGCGGTCAGTGTGCTACTGAGCCGTTAGTAAAGCTAAAAAGTTGATAATTTATAAATTTATTAAAATTTTTGAGTTATATATATCTATTCAATCTTCAATATCTTCTCATTCCGGCCAATGTCTAGATCATCCATCTTTCTTTAACGTCTCTTTATCTTTATTTTAGCGGAATTAAAGTTAAACTTAATATAAACTTACGTCTTCAAGGGCGGGCTGGGCTGGGTCGATTTGTTCCCAGTCAATAGCGGAGAATGGAGCGAGTGCGCTACCTGCAGGTCCTGCCGCTGCGAACGCTCCCATCGCAGCCACAGCAATGCACCATACTGCCCACCACATCTGAACCAAATTATATTGTATGAAAAATATTGAAATAACAATAATATTTTTTAAATATTAATATAAGTAATAATACAAAATAAATAATTCTAAGCAAAGTTATTTGTAAGAAATTGGAACGTTGATGATATCGATTATTGGTACCACCACAGTACACAAATTAATCCTATTTTTCTTCTTTATCAGCTCAGTTGTGGACATGGACCTCGAACATAATTGCACGGATTTTAGGTAATCGCCAGTGTGACAGGCGTACCTGCTCGTCGTACCAGGAGTCACATAGCTTCGATGGAGCTATTGCTTGCGCCGGTGTTTTATTTCACTTGGCATAATACGCGAAATGGCCACATCGACTTTATAGTATCGAAGATCACGAAACCTTTCTGGTGTTTCTCAACTAGTTATCTATTAAGGCATCTTCGAGACGCAATGGGGTGATGGGTAATTCCATATCGTAAGATACGTATGAAACTTTTTTAATTATTACATATTTGGAGACCTAGAGATCCTCCATGAGTAGTGTCAAATTATGTGAAACCAATTATAATTCCTATACTGCGTTACTTGGCTAGCATGTCGTTAATGGCGACTAATAGAATATTGCGTTTGTGTTAGTGTAGGCGATGAGCTAATCTTTTATACGTGGTAGAGCCATGCTGCAGTTATACTAGTAGTATAGTTGTAGCACGAATGGGTCGGCTCGACCGGGGAAGAACCACGCTCTCACAGAATACCAGCGTAAAGTAGTAGCTTAATGCTGCTGTGTTTCGTATGGTGAGTGTAGAGAACCGGCGACCCTTTTTACTGGAAACGAGGCATTCCATCTTAGTACTCACGGGTGACAACGCTTCTGCATTTTGATTTGTAATTGAGGATAGATGTAGATGTCTATAGGCCACAATAACCACTTACCATCAGGTGGACTGTGTGCTCGTTTGTCACCCTTTATATAAAAAAAGAAGATCTAACACACTTCTTTCACAATTTCCCATCGAAACTGTTTTTCACTTAACGTGATCCAAATACTCGTAGCTCATCGTTCTTTAAAATCTACCTACCTCGGGATCACTAAAACATCTAAGATGTTTTTTCTAAATATGTAAAATAAAACGAAAGGAATTAAGTGTTACTTATTCAATAGTTCAATAGATCTCTTCGAGAAGATATCTATAATCACGTTAAGTGAAAAACAGTTTCGATCATATTTAGAAAAAAAAATAAGTAATACTTAATTCCTTTCGTTTTATTTTACATATTTAGAAAAAACATCTTAGATGTTTTAGTGATCCCGAGGTAGGATAAACAGTTTCGATCATATTTAGAAATAAAAAAATACTAGCAATCATAATTACATCACTAGTACTGACTTTAATCACTATTGGTAAGCTTAAAATGTTTGCATTAGTGGTTCACGACAGTAATCGAATGACGGATTCGAACCCACGAACTTTTAATATCGCGATCCGCACCCTGCTAGGCTAATGACTAATTTTGAAAGCGACTTTGAATTATGTCTAAAAATAAAAGTTTATTTGCAAAACTAAATAACATTTTCAAGCAGAGTTAAATCCTGTCACGAAAAATTGTTTTTATCAAGCCTATTAAGTTGGCGTGGTGAGCTTTTAGACCGAGCGGGACTTGTCGGCTTTCCGATGCGCGTCGGATATTTGTCGTCTAAAGATTATAACACTCCGCAATTGCTGCCGCAGAGGTGTCAGTAATCGATTTTATTAATACACAGTTAGGGCTACCACTAAAACGAATGTGCTTTATTATTATTTAAATTAAAAAATCGATAATTTTTTATAGCATAAGGGCGACAATCAAGCACACAGTCCACCTGATGGTTAATGATTGCTGCGACTCATATCACATTCATCCTCAAACAATAATCAAACTACAGATGCGTTATCACCCATGCATTCTGTGAGAGCGTGGTTATTCCTCGGTCAAACCGACTTAATTGTGCTGCAACTATGTAGTATATGATAATTTAACGTCTATGCTTCGAAAGGTATTCATTAAGTAAGCATGTTGGTCATCCGCTAGTCTCTAATCTTTAAATATAGCTGCAGCGTGGCCCTAACACGAATAAGATGATGATATTTTCACCGTCGACAACAACATTGACCCGTAAAATTCTCGGCTGTGAGACATCCACCCGATGTGGGCATGTTTTGCCTTGTGGTGTATCTATTTATTTACACACACATTTTAAATAGCCATTTAAATATGTATATAAATAACTCTTTATACAGTTTATCATACACAATCCATAGTATTCATGTATATATTTTATTTACTATGCACTGCATACTTATTTATTATCACTTATATTAGTATTTTATATTATCAAGTCCCGTACGTGGAAGGCACTCGCGTAGAACCGGTTCCCCGGTCGACCAGCCGCGGTGCATAGTTTAGAAGACGCGCCAGTTAGCAACGAGACCTTTATACGTGTAAAAGCGCAGGTCGCTCCTTGCTCCGTCGCTCGATTGTTAACATACATATTTGATCCGTAAATATAAGTAGTGAAAGACTGTTATCCAATAAGTTAATTTTATTATTGAACTATTAATATTATAATACCGTATCAATTTACTATCGTTCTTTTCTCCTTCTTATTTTAATAATTGTGTGTGTATATTGATCGTAATAAACTAAATTATTCGGAATCTGTGAACATTATTTAAATTACCTAATAATTATACGAACATTACATCTTACATTACTACAGCCTTATTCATCACATAGGGTAAGGGCGTTAATCAAGCACACAGTTCACCTGATGGTTAGGGACTGCTGCGGCTATTACACATTCATCAATTAACCTGTTGATCTGTCTAGAACTTGAAGACTACCCTTGACAACTACAATTAACATTAATGTCTAAGTCGTGTGCGATACTCTATATTACACAGTATTTTTTTAATCTGAAGAGTTAATAGCGTACCTTCCCTAGTTTCCCTAATGGCATTATTCTCGCGGAATAAGGTTCATGAGATTTATGAACATTATTACGTAAATCTAAAAAACTGTGATATCTTTGTAAAAGTATATTGAAATAACTCGCAATTGTTTATATTTGTAAATAAGAATCGAAATATTCAGATTTTTGTATACCTATCTCTGTGCCTCTGTTAGTGATCGTGTAATTTCTGAACGTATTCACTGATTGAGGTCTTGTTTACACAATATTTGTTCTGTCGAGACGGTGGTTTGTAGCTTTTATAAGATTGTGTAAATAGGGCTATAGTCAATAAATTATTTACAATGTTTATATTTATAGACCTAAATAACCCTATCCACGATATATGTTTGGTTAGTACCAAACAAAAACAAAATCTGGATGCGATATAAGTGGCGCTATCGTTTGAACTTAATTACTATGCTGGACTAAATCCGGAGTGAATTTCGTTGTGCAAACATTCTGAAAAGGCAGAACAACTCTGCGGGGTCAGCAAGTTTTTATAACGGTTGGTTATGGTTATAGCGTAGTACAATTATTTATTCTGTTATTAATAGTTTTTGCATCTCATAATGTTCTGTCTATCTTTATTTGTTGTTCTGACTGTATATTCCACTGTAAGTGGATTCTAAGTGAATCTCATTGCGCTACCTACCGGAGAAATCAGAACAACGTCTGCCGGGCCAGCTTGTTTAAAAAAAAATTGAAATTATACGATTGATATTAATTAATAATTATTTAGGTAAGCACCTTGTACAATTACGGATGAAAGGAAAAAACCATGCTCAGTACTTAGGTACTACATAGATTTCAAAAATATTTTAATTAATTCTATTTTGATATGTCTTATTAATAATTGAATTGCGAAAATTCTAGGTAAAAATCTTAAGCAGGGCACATATTTGTAAAAATCCTAAGCAGGGCATATATTTGTAAAAAAATACTTAATATCATATTATCTAAATTGACGACGACAACTGTGAAGGAGTAAAAAGGCAATTTGTACGAGCAAAGTCAAATGTTGTGTAATTAAATAAAAATTTTCGCATGCTTTCCGACAACAAATTAATGTTCATTCTCATACAATCTATTAGGTCTTGCGGCAAGGGCATTTGATTTCGAGGATACTTAAACGAAATCACTTTATTTGTTGAGGACTCAGACAAACTTCCAGTGTTTATGTGTTGCCCACTTGTCCTTTGTGTCGAATACGTTTGTACTGTAAATAGTTCGAATTAAGTGTATTTATTTGGGTTTAATGTTTTGAAACAATTACGATTATTTACTTAATTAATGAATTGAGATTAAAGTTTATTTTTAAATCACATCGCTTTTTCAAAACTAATTTGAACTGTTGAATAAATAAACTTCTTATATAGATTACCAAGATTTTCCAGTTATAACCAAGAGTTATATCTATGGAGACTTAGGGACATTCAAGAAAAGAGCTTACTCCTTTCTAGAAGGCCGGCAACGTATCTGCAATTTTCCTATTGATCCCCTCTTGTAAAAAAAATTACCTCACCGCAGATCAAAAATGCACTAATTATCTAATACATCTTAATATATATAAATTACGTGTCACGTTGTTTGTCCGCGATGGACTCCTAAACTACTCAACCGATTTTAATCAAATTTGCACACCGTGTGCAGTTTGGTCCAACTTGAGAGATAGGATAGTTTTTTTCCCGTGAGTGACCCACAATTTAAGGATTTTTAATAGGACATGACATATGGTCGTCGAAACGGGCAGAACAACGTCTGCCTGGCAAGCTAATAAAAACTTATATTGGGTTGTTCGTATTTCATGCGTTGCCATACCGTTCATCAGATTGCGGGTGAATCTTTGTCAAAATATTGCTTGCATTTCCGCGAAGGTTGTAGGCATAGTTAGACCCGTTAGGCGGCACTGCTGTATAGTCGAGATATCACCCGTGCAAAGCCGGGGCAGATCGCGCCAGTTAGTGTATAAAATATATGTAGGTACAAATGTAATTTAGTTTGTCAAAAACGGCCGTAAAGATCTGGATGA